TGTGTATAAGAGACAGGTTCAAAGGGCTTCTAGGCACTTGCACGAGAACAGCCATGATGCACACCTGAGTGTCCAGTGGTGACCACCTCATGGAGACACAGCTGGGACAGATCCTCAGCCTGAGGATCAGTACCAAGCCTGAGCTGGAAAGAGCATGGAGGGAAACAAGATTGTCACCCTGGTCCTGGGTAAAACGTCCCCAAAGCCTTCAAGAGCCAACAGTTGAAGTAAACATTGTGCCTATGCTCTGAAAAGCTTCATTGCAAAACATGGCCACTTTAGGGGTAAAACTAGGGCTCCAGCTTAACCTAAGCTTGGGGAGGGGTGATACAGACTTATATAGAGTGTCACTGCTCCTTGAAATTTGAATATGAAGGAATAATCCTAAAACAATAACAACCACCTGAGCTGTAATACAACATTTCCTTCTAGTCAGCTTTAGGAGATTTCTAAAACCTCTGAAATTATTTGCATTAGGACTAACGGGCTTCAGATGGAGTGGGAAATGCTCTGCTCAGCCTCCAAAGAAAAGGATTAAACAGCAGCAAACCAAAGGGTTAACACGGGGCTTGGCTTTTTAGACACTTTGATGACATGGGCTCTTATGATTGGCTTGCCAATCATAAGAAATTGAGAGATCAAGGTTAATTTATCGCAGATAAATGCAATGAGTGGTTTAGAGAGGATGGAGCTGGAACAGCTCTCCACATCTGTCCTTGCGCTCAGGAGATGCACGGTGAAGCAGAAAGGCAGCAAGGTCAAACTTGGTGCCAAGGTCCACAGGCTGCAAGTCTCAGTCCTGGGGTCTCACCAAGTCTTCACAGAGAAGGGAAGATGCAGGGGAGAAACAAAATCAGAAACTAAAGAATGAGCAGAGATAGATGTTTTCAAACAACCTGGACCCAATAAACACCTTACAAACCCTGGCTGAGCCATACGGAAGCATTCCCATTGAAGACCTGTGAGAGGACTTCCAAAAATGTGGGAAAAGAAGAACCAGGGTGCTTTAAACCTCCCAGTTTGCTTTATAAACCAGAAAATATTGAATGAAATAGTCACACTAGTTGTAAGCACCCTGAAATGACAAGGACATCAGTCCTGATGGACTTGTCAAGAACTGATATGTCAAATCAATCAAATGTCCTTTTGTGACCAGGAACCTTGCTCTGTGCGCAGACAAGGACCTGTCTGTGTCAAACATGGTCAGGGCAGTGAGGTTTTGTCACTGTCTCACAGGGGACCCTCATCTACATGCAGTTATTGTAGGATGGGTGAAAAACCTGTTTGTAAGGTACCTGGGGAGTGGTTATCAGCAGTTCACTGTCAAAACGGACAGATGGATTGAGTGGGCATCCAGACAGGGTCTCTCCCGGGGCAGGTTTATTCAATATTTTCATTAACAGTTGAATGATGGCATAACATGGATGATTATTAAATTTGCAGACAATACCTTGCTGGAAGGGACAGCAAGTACATCAGAGGACAGGGCTGGAATTCCAAGTGTTCTTAATAAATTAGAAAAGTATCACGAAAAAATAAGACTCATGTCCATGATCAGTGGAGAGGTCAGTACCACTGAAGGATAATTCACCATGGTCAATCCAAGTATTCAACGCAGAAACCTTGAGAAAGCAATTTGTCCTGCCTATTTCTTTGCTGAACATAGCAGGGGACGAGAGATTTTCTTCAAAGCAATTTAATACATTCTAAAATTCGGGAGTTAACATTGATTGAGATGCAAATCAAGGTACTGTGCATCTCTGTGATACAGAGCCAGCAAAGCCACAGCAGAACACCACAGTGTGGCTCCACGTGCCGTGTCCATGCCCACGCTTCCACCCTGGCCAAGGCAGCACCTGCAGATGTGTGCTGTCCGCTGCGAGTCACCGGCCCAGAGGTGGCCCAGCTGTCCTTGCTCACGACCCCAGGATGTGTCTGTGGCAAGGACGTGGCTGCTATCCAGCTCACGGAGATGCCAGTTGGCATCCACCACCCAAAGCTGCCCCACTGGTGGCTCTGGTTTTTCTGATATGCCTCAAGCCTGAAAATAGGTTCAGGACTTCTGAGCGCCCCTCACCAGGGCATCAGGCCACTGGGCCATCTTGCAATCTTGCATGGATATAGCCAAGGCAACAGTGGTACAGAGGGGGCATTTTTTACAGCCATGAAAGATGCATTAGGTATATCTGAAATGCAGCACACCTGCCTAAACTCCTTTGCTGGTTCAGCTGGATTTGGGTTTTTGTCGCCCATGCCTGCTGTGGAGATGTGCTTCTTCAAGGCAGCATTTCAAAGGCGTGATGTGTGCTGGATCCAGGGACATTGGTACCACAGGATGCCATGTACAAATGTCCTGGCAGTCCCCAGAGCCTGAACAGGCCCCCCAGGGTGCTCAAACGCTGCAGGATATTTGGGTGCAATGGAAGGTTGTTGCCAAGGGCTTGTGTTCTGGATGGGGACCTCCTGCATGAACCATGGGGCATGCTGGAAGGGAAGCAGGGCAGGGAGGGATATGTACCACTGCCTGGGATTTGCCAAGACCATAAATACACCTAAACATTCAGGTATTGAAGAATGAGCTCAGGATAAATTGCCTTTGTGTCTTTACCCCCACTCCCAGACTTCACGTCACACCACCTCAGCACCAGCTGCGTTTCAGCAGTGATAGAGTCACCCCTGTTAGATCCTCAGAGTGTTACAAATCCTTTCTAAGCTTTTCTGCATACTCCAAATAAACAGCATTTACCAACTGCTCTGACTAATGCTGACTTACTGCTCCCAAGGCGGCTCTGCTGAAGGCATCTCTCATCCCAGAGAGCAGGCAGCTGCCGCTCTGCTCCCACCTTGGTACATGGACATGGTGGTCATCTCCTGCCTCCCCTTTCCCCAGCAGGCCTGATCCCATATGCACAAAGTCCTATTTCAGAGTCCTTGGCACTGTTGTAAAATAACCTCCACATCCTCATACCCATTTTCTATTCTTCTGAGGTCCCTCCCACCCAGCTCATCTCTGGGGCTCAACAAATCCCTCTCACCCAAGTGTCCTCT